ACTCTGCCCATCGTTTCTCGCTGGCGCCTGGGATCGAACCCAGGACCACAGGATCACGTGTCCAGCGTGCTGTCCACTCGGCTGGCCGGTCCCTTGGTGTGTGTGTGTGTGTGTGTGTGTATTTACTATTTTGCCTGCAGGATCGAGCAGTTAGCTCTTGGACCCCGTTGGTTTGCTCCATATTCTCTTTGGTTTGGTGCCTTATTTTCATAATTACTTACTTCCTCCATAGTCCCCCCCCCCCCTGGCTTGGTGCCTTATTTTAATAATTACTTCTTGCTTGCTACATAGTCCTTCATGCTTCGTGCCTTCTTTTGATAATTACTTACATACTTGCTAAATAGGCTCCCTAGCATGGTTCCTTCTTTTGATAATTACTTATAGTTGCTAGGTTGATTCCAGCAAGGTTCAGGAAGCCATCTCTTGGTCGTTGAATCGTCATAGGTCCTCCATATTATGTTGTTAGTTTCTGGTTTCGAAACCAGGATCAAGAAACTAACATTATTATTTGGAAGACCTATGGCGATTCCACGACCAAGAGATGGCTTTTTGATCCTTGCTGGAATCAACCTCACTGAGGACCAAGTCATTCTCCTAAATCTGGGTCACGTTATGTCCAGACCAAGTGAGATGGCCCGGAAAGTGGAGTTGGAGATCCTATTGGACGACATATTAGACCTCAAGACGCAAAAGAAGGTTACCACTAAAGACACCTTGCAAGCAGAACTTATTGCAGAAGGAGGAAAGAATCGAGGCAACTACAGAAGCACCATACTTTCCCGCGAACTCAAAGTGGCAGCTAAGAGCCTTCGTGAGAACAAGGAGATAGTCGTCAGGAGAGGTGACAAGTCGCCAATATACGTTATTCTTAAAAAAAATGAATATCTGGCGAAAATGAAGCTCATACTCTCTGATCAAACTAAATTCCAAAGGATAACGAAGGACACTACAGCCGAATTGAAAACAAAGGTAAACAGATTGATCGAAACTGTGAACGCCATGAAATCCGGACTCCACCTGCCAAAGGTTATTGGGGAATACAAACCTGGGTATGCGTATGGAAATGTCAAGACCCACAAGCCTGGAAACCCACTTCAGCCAATCATCAGCTAGATACAGATGGGAGTCGGTCGGCCGAGCGGACAGCACGCGAGACTTGTGATCCTGTGGTCCTGGGTTCGATCCCAGGCGCCGGCGAGAAACAATGGGCAGAGTTTCTTTCACCCTATGCCCCTGTTACCTAGCAGTAAATAGGTACCTGGGTGTTAGTCAGCTGTCACAGGTTGCTTCCTGGGGGTGGAGGCCTGGTCGAGGACCAGGCCGCGGGGACACTAAAAAGCCCCGAAATCATCTCAAGATAACCTCAAGATAACCTCAAGAATACCCATACCCACGTACAGACTGGCGAAGCGGCTCAACGGCTTGCTGACTCCTTATGTACCTTGTGCTTTCAGCCTGAAGTCTCCAAAGGAATTTGTTGACTTACTGTGGGGAACACGGGCCACAGGAATAAGAGCCTCGTTGGATGTAGAATCACTGTTTACCAACTTACCTGTGGATGAAACAATCGGGATGATAGCGGACAGAGTGTATTGTGATCCGGCTTGTACTCCTCTTGACATACCTGAAAACATTCTAAGGAAACTACTCCAAGCTTGTACTAAAGAGGCACCCTTCTTGAGCCCAGATGGGCACATGTATAAGTAAGTAGATGGGGGTCGCCATGGGTTCTCCCCTAGGTGTCCTGTTTGCGAACTTCTACATGGGTACCATCGAAAAGGTCTTAGTTGACATGAACTTGAAACCTACCATATACTGCCGGTATGTTGACGACATTTTTACACAGGTACCTGATGTCAGACGTCTGCAGGAGCTGAAGGAGGCATTCGAGCAGAATTCTGTGTTGAATTTCACTTACGTGATGGAGAAGGATGGGAAGCTGCCCTTTCTAGATGTAACAGTCACGGAAAGGAACGGAGGTTTCCACACTGCAGTCTACACTAAGGAAACAAACATAGGAATGTGCCTGCATGCCAACAGTGACTGCCCAGACAGGTACAAGAGGAGTGTTGTCAACGCTTACGTCGACCGTGCTGTCAGCCACAGCTCAGGATAAACGACGAATGGGACTGTCCCTTCACCAAACAAGAACTAATCAGACCCAAAAAAGGTGGTAAGGACACTGCACCAGGTGCTGATAACATTACATACTCAATGATCGCACATGCAGGTCCTGCTAGAGAACAAGGAGTATTGGACGTCATCAATGCATCTTGGCAGCAAGGCAAACTACCGACCTCTTGGAAGAAAGCAGACATCATATCGATTCCTAACCCAAAAGAACCTGGCAATTACAGACCCATTTCATTAACATCATGCATTAGTAAAACTGCAGAACGGATGGTCTTAAATAGGCTACTGTGGAAGACTAGAGACCTTTATAAACACATATTTGGCTTCACTAGAGGAGTAGGTACTGCCAACTGCATAGCAACATTATTAAGAACAGTTAACTCAGGTCCAGCTATAGTGATCTTCCTTGATCTAGAAAAAGCATTCGACCTTGCAAGCCCGCAAGCAATTTTACACACCTTAGTTTAAAAAGGTGTAAAGGGAAATATGCTAGCATGGATTCAAGATTACTTAAGTCACAGGTATGCCAGAGTAAAGTTGCAAGGACATGTCGGACTACCACTTGCATGAGAATGGTACCCCACAAGGAGGAGTCCTCAGTCCTAGTCTTTTTAACATCCTTATGGAAAACTTTGTTACCATGACATTTACAGAAGGGGTTAAATTGCTAAGCTATGCTCATGATATAGCATTAGTCATTACAGGTCCTTCACTTCTAAATAAAACACAAGGTGCATTAGATAAAGTAACATCTGAATGCAGCGTTTTAGGGCTAAAAATATCTGCACAGAAGTCTAAGGCAATGAGACTAGGCGGCAACACTCCAGACAGGCACCTACACATTCAAGACATTAACCTTCAGTGGGTTGCACAATATCAACATCTCGGAGTGCGGATAGATTTTAAAATGACATTCAACAAACAAATTCAATATCTAAAAACAAAACAAAATCACGACTAAATATAATGAGAGCAATCACAGGGCCCCGTCTAGGAGCGGGACACAAAGTGTTAAGAATGTTTTATATACATGCCGTTCGTTCCCTAGTTGATTATGCAGCGCTTGCCTTACTCACTCTTTCTCCTGGTCAGTGGGCAAACGTTGAGGTTATTCAAAACGATGCATTGCGAATCATAACAGGAGCTCCCAGATGGACTAAAATACTGAACCTAAGACCAAGCTAACGTCGATTGAAATGAGGGTAAAATGGATTGCTGCATGCATGCTGATCAAGATATTGACTAGACCTAGAATCAGTTCACTTAAAGATATAATCACTGGAGCACTAACTCTGGACAGAAGAACCTCCAATAGCAACAAGTGGACCCATTGTGCGATAAACACCATCAATACATTCGATATAACAAACACAATCACTGAGAAGGGTGTCGACGAAATACATGCAGACTTTGTTATGCAATCCCCTTGGGAAACTCCGCCAGCAGACATTAAGATTATGGTTATTGGAGAAAAAAAGAACCAGATAAATCCTCATCTGCTACGTAACATTCCACAGATGCATATAGAAGCAAACATGGCATCCGACAGCTTCAGTTACTTCACAGATGGATCAGCAGACCAGTAGGGACAAGAAACCAGAGCTGCAGTTAAAGCAGGAAACTCTGTAAATAGTTGGAGACTCTCAAATGGGTGTTCGACTTTACAAACAGAGATGCTAGTCATTCAAAAGGCTTTGGAACATGCTCTTGCTGAACACCGACAACATGTTATCATACATACAGATTCGAGAACTGCCATTGAAACCTTGCAACAAGAACACATATGTGATAACATCCATCTGATCACAAATGTCATATCATTAATGCAAACACTCAAACGACAAGGCCGACGGGCAATTATCAACTGGGTGCCAAGTCATGTAGGAATAATAGGAAATGACATTGCAAACGAAGCTGCAAAACTTGCAACTAAGAGAAGAAATGTACATTTACATACCACAGAGTCTATCACAGATTAAATTAAGAAAGTAATTAGAAACAGAGGAATGCAAAAGATGTACAGTGACCACAACACAGCAGTTGCAACATCAGGATCTGCGGGTTGGTACAAGAATTCAACCCACTATGAACCACATGATGAAAGGGAGCAGTAGAGCAACATAAGTACAGTTACATCGCATCAGGCTTGGATACCCATGTGCATGGGAAATAGGCTTACAGGTTCCGGAAGATGAGAGGAAATGTCAACACTGTGGAGAAATGTCCGACAGACCACTGGAACATTATCTAACACAAGGCACAGTTGCAAACCCATTAAGATTTCAACTTAAATTCAACAGAGCAGAAGTTGTTGTTAAACACATACGGCAAAATCTTACTGAAGCGACCATACGAGTAATAAATACTCACACTCCGCCCAAGTAAAACAGAAACAAGCAACACTTAGTGGGCCAGCAAGAGGCTTAGGGCCCGCGCAGGAATATCACTGCAAAAGAAGTGATCATCAGCACCAGCCAGTATCAGTGATCAGCACCAGCCAGTATCAGTGATCAGCACCAGTCAGTATCGTAATTTTAAAATATCTGTTTTTCAAAATCTTTGCTAGACATAGCGGATAAGTTTTTAGTTTAAAAAAAAAAAATCAAAGTGTGACTACAAACTAGACATATAGATTTTTTTTTAACATAAAGAATTAAACCAATTTATAACACCAAATTGTCATTTGTATAACATATTCCCTTCATGATGAATTTATAAATGTAAGATCACGTAAACATGATAATCTTAATTTTTTTTTTGCAGGGATATTCATGCGCGGGCCCTAAGCCTCTGGCTGACCCATTAAGTGTTGCTTGTTTCTGTTATATTAATGATAAAATCAAATCTAATGAATCAAAACAATAATATTTGGCTTAGAAATGTTTATTGATTTATAAAACTTTTCATATTTACTCTCGTATATTTTCTAACAATGTCGGTTACAAGTATTGAACATTACGCGATAAAGTATCAAACACACGGCATAAACATTTAATAACTTTACATTAAGCACTTAAAAGATAATGTAAAAGCATCATTATGAGGATTATTGTTCTAAAACAGATTAATATATCTATTTCGAACAAGAATGAACTGCTAGGACACTGGGAGGAGGCTACCAGCCATCACCAACACTTTAATTCCATATATAGATTTTTTCCCGATAAAGTGTTATTATAATACAAAAAATGTGAACAAAATTTTATATGAAATAAAACGGGATATATTTATTTCAGATGGGCAGAGTTATTTGAGTGTACTCTAAGTTTGTGTGGTATTGTACATTCTAAGTTTTATTAGGGAAATTCATAATTATATGCTTAACTATATAGACTGTCAATTGCAGTATGTTATGTAGTACTAGATGAAAGACAAAATTATATAACTCTTTATTTGACTGACGTAGTTGAGAAGTTATAATTAAATTACCCATAATATTTTTGTATTCGAAATGAAACTATTATTGAGCCTATAATAATTTTTAATATTTAAAGTTCATCTTTCTTCTCTTTATGCTCATCTTCTGGACTCTTAGCTTCATTTCCTTCAGTATCTTCCTTTACAGACAGATATTCCTCAGTCTGAGCAGGAGGGTCCAGACTTTGTGTAGGATCTTCCTGATCCTGCACAGTTCCTTCAACAGGCTCAGTCTCTATTTCTTCAACAGGTTCAGTCTTTGTTTCTTCAACAGGGACGTATACAATGTTGAGTACTTTATCAGGGTGAAGTATCAGATTTTGCTTGAGAGGTAGAGATGACCAGAACTCCCGCGTCTGAGGAATGTAAACACAGAGACTTAGAAAAGACATACTACATTTTATTTGGAAACAAATCGTCGAACAAAATAGACAGATAATATAATATTGATAGTAAAAATGAGGCAAAGTTCCTTGGTCAATACATAAACTTAAATGCATTACTCAAATTTAGCACATTTCAAGTTCAAGTACGTTTATTGAGACAATAAAATACATCTCAAAGGAGTAGAATACCCGGAGACAAGGGAACAGCAACCAACGATCCCGTACAAGACGGGTTGGAACCCGGAAGACACATTCAATGGTCCCCCGAGCCCAGACAGGGGTTTCCAGGGCCCGTAGGGTAACAACTACGGGAAGCCCGGGCAAGGTGTTGCTAACCGGTTAAGAAACCCAAACATAACAAGAGGGTAGATTATAGCACTGAAAACCCCTGAGACGTGTACAAGCACGGGGGCCTAGCAGAGGGCCGCCAAACACTACCAGTGGAACTATAACCACCTTAGGCAGACCCCCACCAGGCAAAAAACAAAACAAAAGAAAAACCCCGCAAAAGTACGTAAAAGTATGTAAAGTAAAAGTACGCATAAGTATGTAAACACAGAGACTTAGAAAAGACATACTACATTTTATTTGGAAACAAATCGTCGAACAAAATAGACAGATAATATAATATTGATAGTAAAAATGAGGCAAAGTTCCTTGGTCAATACATAAACTTAAATGCATTACTCAAATTTAGCACATTTCAAGTTCAAGTACGTTTATTGAGACAATAAAATACATCTCAAAGGAGTAGAATAGCTTAGGCTATTTCTATCCTCCTGCAGCACATAGCCTAAAAGTCTCCATACCGGACCCTTTCCCTCCATCTGAGTATACAGGGAAGCTTGGCGGCTGCTCTCACATATTGTGATCTGTCAATTGACCTCATGCAGAGTGACCTCCACTGGTGTTGATGCTGTTGCATGTTGAGGTTTTACAGTATCAAAACAATACATTCACACTGCATTAATATCAGAGATGATGGGACAGGGGGAATGGTGGGAGAAGGGGAGTGGCAGGTTGAGAAAAAGAGATGAAAGGTATACAGGGAGTGTGAAAGAAAGATGAAATGGGTTCGTGCTGGAGAGGACAGGAGTAGGGGAAAGTACGACTTCAGCCATGTGACTTTTATTTTGGCTTTGCACAGTCTGTCACAGTGACGTAGACTGCGTTTTTTAAATTTGACCGAAGAGGCTGGAGGTCAGAATGCACAGCCTGGCCATAGACCGTACGTTTTAACCTCGGAACTATGGGATTCAGTTCCTGAATCCATCATGTGCCTCTGTAACCCTTTCCACCACCGTCCAAGGATGTGTATGGGGTGCATAATAAATAAATTAAATGTAAATAGAAGCATGCAGATTGAGTCTATCCCTTGTGTTTATGCAGCCTTCTGGTCTGTAGTATTGCAGACGACGATCCTAGGAGAGAAAACTACATTTTGGACAGGTCGTAGCTGAGAATATAGAGGAACGAACACCCACCACAATTCCTCCCAACCACCTTCGCTAGCAAACGTTTGGCCAGTATAATTAGCTGGGAACGATGCTGTTTTGTGTATAGTGAGGCCTCGACTACCTATCATTAATCTGTCTTGTTTAAAGAGTTACTGGTCGCCTCACCTCACCACCGCCAGCACGCTTCCTCTCTCTCATCTCCACCACCACTATTCCCCGCCACCGACGCCCTATCTCTTGCTATCTAATCCCTTTTTCTTCCCCCTCCCATCCCCCTTCCAAATTTCCCCCTTTGTTTCCTTTTCTCTCCCACCCCCTCCAACCCTCAATCTCCCCCTCTGTTCCTTTTCTGTTCCCCTCATCAGACACAAACATGTTACAATTGTGTCTAGCTTCAGACGCAAGCATATTACAATTGTGTCATAAGGAAATGAGCACAATTAAGAATGACAAAGAGTCAAATACAATTAATGAATCAAGTTTGGAGATTTATACACATTTCAGTGCAAGAAGCAAGGCAAATAGTTCGGTCTAAAGAGTAGAGGCCCAGTTGTTTAGACGGAGTCCCCACTCAAAATATAAGCCATCGCCCATTGTCAGGACAATTGCACTTCCAGCTGCCCCCGTGGGGTGGTGTAGGGAACCATCAGTGTATATGATTTGAAAGAGAGAATGCTCTGTGGACAGAGTATCAGTATGGCTTAAGGCGTTGAGCTTTGCCCCAAGACGAAGCTTGGGTTGAACTCTAAATTGCTCCTTGGGTGGAAAGGGGGATAATCTCACACCGAAAAACGGAATTCATCCTTCAGTGTTAATATCCATGCTTTTTTCAATATAACATATAGAAATCTCAAGTGGAACAATCTGAATACTCCATGAATGCGAGGAAGAACCTAATGCAAATGCGAGAATATCAGCAAAGAAATTAATAATTGTACCAATATTGTCTGGTTTAAATATATATTAACCTTTAAGAAAGAAAAGAAAATATCAAAGTGTTCAATGAGGATCCAGAAGGTCTTCTCTGAGTACTCATTATTTTCTTCTCCGTGGCTATGGGTCCCTACATTTTCACCAGAGGTGGTACCCCTTTTAACCTTTAATATGAAGGAAGAATATTTAGATTTACCATTCATCTTAAGAATGTACACACACACTAAAGGTTACGATACATTATTTTTTAATTACCTCCTGTCTATAGTCGTCTTGCATGGCGGGAGAAGGTGTAAGAGCAAGGTGGCGGAAGTCGTTATCAGTGATGGGGTCCCAGGTGAAGCCCAGACTGTCGTCTGGGGTGGGGTTCCTGCGGCACAAAACACGCAACATGTCACCAAGAGAAACAAGGTTTAAGGTGAAAAAAGACAAACTGAGGAAAATCGGTTAGATATAATTTTTTGTTAACATGTTCTTGTGTTAGCCACGACTTTAGCTTCATGCACAGAAACTTAACTCATTAAGGTCTATTAGCCTTTCATTTTATTAAAATTCATATTATGTTACATGTCGACAATGATAATTGTAAAATATTAGTTTTCTATGGGCAATATAATGTATGAAGTTAAGAGACTTTGTCTCTAAAGGTAGTAAAGTCGGAGTAAAGTCGGACCTGTTTTTCTGAAAGTCTTATGGTGTAAAATTCACCTTCACATAGACAATGTTAACATTAATAGTAAAAGTGGTGCAAAGTTCCTTGGCCTATACATAGACAAGAGACTGAACTTCAGCACCCACATACAACACATAGCCAAAAAAGTCTAAAGAAAACGGTCGATTTACTCTCTTAAATCAGATATCATGTTCCCCTCTCTGCTCTCCTCATTATACTAAGCGCTAATTTATCCCTATCTTACGTATGGTATCTGTGCATGGGGTTCAACCCTTGCAAATTATCTCAAGCCTATCATCAACCAGCAAAAATTTACTATCAGAACTATACAAAATCTGTCTTCAGACAACACACAGCCCCTTTTCCTTAAATCCTTAGACAAGATTAACGAACACTCAATCCACACATTCTCTTGTGCTATTTACATGTACAAAAACTTGTTCCTAAATGCTAATCCTGATCTGAAACTCTTCCATGACAGATGTAACAGTACACATGAGCACCTCACCAGAAATAAACACCTCTTTTTTCCCAGAGTCAGACTAAACCTGTGCAAATAAAAGGATCCAGTCTATGGAACTCACTCCTTAATGAATTAAAAGATTTCCCAACCTGTACTTTTCAAAAGCAAAACCAAAAAGTACCTAATTTCATCTTCATAGCACACAAAAATCACAATAGCGTAATGCATCATATGAACAAATCCACAAGGGATAAGTCGATTAAGGCAGCGTTTGGGATCCTCTCGGACGTGGGTTCGAATCCTCGTCACGGCCCTTGTGGATTTTTTCATCTCCATAGTTTTCCACCTTGTGCAACACATGAGAGGCGGGACCAAAGACCAAAGCGCAACCCCCACAAGCACAACTAGGTGAGTACTCACCCAATTTAGTACTTAAGACATTCAACCTCATTAATATAATCTGTTCTATCAATTTGTAATGTAGTAATTATATTTAACTCAAATTCTGTTACCATTATTCTTTAGCTTCAGGACCTACCCGAAACGCGGTGTGTGTTAGTCGCTTTGCAAGAATATTACACGCAAACTCCAATGTATTTCTCAACCCAATGTACCTTCTTGTATATAAATAAATAAATAAATAAATAAAAATAAATATAAATAATAACGTCTCGGAAATTGTGCCAATCTTAACAACTGAAACTCTCATGAGTTAATCTCATGAGAACAAAAAGACGCAAGCAGAGTTTCAGCCACTTAAATCTGGCCATTATTTATTTTGCCTTGAAAAATGTGTGTATCCAACATATCAGTAATTTTGGTAATAATCAAGACTGACAACTGTGTAGTTTTGTAGTACTTTTAAATATGTGTATATTTTAATATTGTAGACAATTATCCAACTTTCACCTTCCTCATACTCTATTCTAATCTGAATATCCTTAAATAGTCTTCTCCATGCTTGCTGCATGCAAACTGCTATCGATCGTGAACTAAATATATCACATATCTACAATAACCACCATGTTGTTCATCAGTACTGTAGGTACTACACAGCAAACCCTGCAAAAAACAAACTTAAAACTAACACTAGCCTATCAGTACAATATTAACCAAAATGTCAGATCACTCAATAAATACTTTGATGATATAAATGTATTACCAGAATAACAAGGTATTAAACCACTTTCATTATCTTAACAGAAACATGACTAAATAAAGATCATATCCAGTTATGGATATCATGAAATCAAAAAGAGGGGAGGTACACCTATCTATTATCAAGATAACTTTACCTGTACTGGATTCATCAACAATAGAGACGATTACTGTGAATATACCTTTACACAATTCTCGATCAAATCTGTTAAGCCCCTTTAACTATTGGGGTTGTTTATATTTTTTCCTTTCAATATTACTGCAATCACAAACAATTGGCGGAATCAAATCATAAACAACAAACTCAACAAAAATCACATCATTTTAGGAGGTGACTTCAACATTGACCTCTTTCAACAAAAAAGTCCCCTAGTCGAATACTTCCTTAATGGCAAGCACTCCTGTATGGGGATTAGCATAGATTAGCAATCACCAAGCCCACCTGAAGCACTTAAATATCTGCTGCAACCTTAGACTACATATAGCCTCATGAAACAGCCACTCTTGGGTTGGTAAGATGTAATCTCACCAACCCATTGTATCTTCTTGCAAATAAATTATTATTACAATTAATATTATTATTATCATTATCATTATCTTGCTGTTATAGAACTGAATAGAACAACTGACCACTATTCTACTTTCCTCACGGAAAACACGGACATATTACCATCAGATACGATGAAATTAACCTTTTGACTACCCAGTAAAGAGGTAATAGGAACCCCTCATAAATGTGCTTCGCAATATAAACTGGGAACCTGATTTCAATGATAAACATAATATAAATTCCTTAACTGAAAACTTCCTCAGCCTCTACAACACACACTGTCCTCTCCTCCCCAAGCAAGTAACTGCCACAAGATTAAACAACCTCTGCCTCACAATTTGCATGCTTAGAGCAATTAATTAAAAACACGAATATGAGACAACCATAGGATTGGCCTAGTTACAAAAGAACTAATAAAATCATACTCATCAACTCTTACCAGTATAATAGGAATAGCTAAACTATCCTATTTTGAGATTAAATAGAAAGCAGCAAAAATAAACAAGAAAAGCACATGGAGACCTATCTCTAACGTAGCCTGGTGGGCCTCGTAGCCTGGTGGATACCGCGCAGGACTCGTAATTCTGTGGCGCGGGTTCGATTCCCGCACGAGGCAGAAACAAATGGACAAAGTTTCTTTCACCCTGAATGTCCCTGTTACCTAGCAGTAAATAAGTACCTGGCAGTTAGTCAGCTGTCACGGGCTGCTTCCTGGGGGTGGAGGCCTGGTCAAGGACCGGGCCGCGGGGACACTAAAAACAAAGCCCCGAAATCAACTCAAGATAACCAAGATAACATCCGAGGATCTAAACAACACTCGCATAACAAGCAGATAAAACTCTCCAAAGTTGGTTACACACCTGCACCAGTTACACACCTGCAACGGTTGCACATCTGCAACCGACTTGGAAACGGCAACTGAACTTAATAGCCTCTGTTCATCAATTGGTGCTAACCTTGCCAGATATATCCCAGAGGCCCCAGACAAATGTTACTACATATCCCACCGGCAGCTATCCTAATTCCACCCCTTTCACCAGTCAGCCCAACTGTCGGAAAATCCGACACCATTTAATAATAATATCATACAGACAGATAAGAGCTGTGTTGTATAAACAAGTTACCCATAGAAAACGTAACTTGTAGTGGAATTACCGTCTAAAGAAAACGGGATATCATCACCACATACTATTATAAATCACCACCTATTATGGTGGGAATTATTCTTAAATACATTAGTCTTTGGACTTTACCATCATAAAAACATCTTATATAAATTAACTTAATTATCAATATTAAAGTAGAGTAAATGTGACCCTTCTATCACTTTCTGAAATCTGGACAATGTAAGCCAGGCGTCAGGGAGGAAGGAGGGCAGCCATTGTTGTGTCACCTCCGAGACGTGTGGAGCAAATTCGGCTCCTATCATATCTGGACAATGTCGGCCAGTAGCGTCAATAGTATGGAGTGTTAGACATTGTTGAGACTAGACCAGAGGCTCTCGGGAGCAAATTCGGCTCCTGTTAATTTTACTTGGACGTAGTGTTATGAAACCAAAGGTGTACCATTATCACACGCTGTCAACAAATTCAAGTTAAGTGTTCTTTCCGAAACCCATGTATCTTTCATTTATGGCCATTAATGTCATTATATAGGGTGACCTGGTTAGAACGCGAGGCAGCCTCAAACTAAAGGTAATTAAGCCAGGTCTTCATGTTCCATGTACAGTTTTCTCTGAAATACTTGTCATATATGGTATCTGGCTTTACAGCTAGCGCCCTTTTGACAGGTCAAGACGAGGAAGCAAGACTTTGTGCACCAGTTACTGGGTGATGGAAGCTACCTCAAAGAGGATAATTTGGTGTCTACACCCTAGTTATACCTGGTGGACTAACCTGCTGTACTATAAGATAAGGAACCTCTTCAATGTATGTAGTCTATTACTGTAGTTTGATTGGCTGCATATATATTAATTTAATAAACCCCCCCTAATGTGTAGAGGATCGATTTGTGAGATTAAGAGATTATTGCAGAAATACAGTCCTCTCATTATCATACAAATTGCTATCGAAGTATATAAATTAACGTAAATATAAATTCATATAAATTAAATAAATATAAATCTCACAGGTCGGTTCCCACACCAACAGACATTATATCCACATTTCACTCACTTAAAACCAGAGCTGGGAACATTAGTGAAACACCATCTATCGTATACAAAAGTGCCTCCCATGCCCTTGCGCCACCCATAGCTCAGCTATTCAACAAATCTCTCGATAGTGTCAAACTTTTCTTGACATTATAAAAGCAGGAAGGAGGAATTATCAGGGGAAAGCGCCAAGCCATTACGACTGTATAGCACTTGGTAGGGATCAGGATAAGGATTTGGGATGGGACTAAGGGGAGGGGGAAGGAATGGTGCCCAACTACTTGGACTGTCGGGGATTGAACGCCGACCTGCATGAAGCGAGACCGTCGCTCTACCGATTACATACCAATATGCAATCCCAGTGACGTTGTGGTAAAGCACTCGCCCAGTGCTTCGCGAGAGTTTTGGCCTGGGTTCGTATCCTGGCCGAGGAGGATTGGCTGGGCGCCAATCCTTAACTGTAGCCTTTGTTCACTCAGCAGTGAATGGGTACCTGGTTGTTAAACAATTTGGCGGGTCGTATTCCAGGGAAAAATTAGGATTAAGGACCTGCCCGAAACTCTATGCGTGCCATTGGCTTTACAAGAATGTAAGAACTCTTCTATTTATATAAATAAAAGTGGAAATGTTCGTTTGTTCATAACCTCTAATCTCCGAAAGTTCTTCACCGATTGCTTTGAAATTTTCACACAACGTTCCACTCGCATCCGAGCGAGTTTTTATATACATACTATATAGATGTCACGTCTGTGACGGGGAAAAAACATGATTTTTTTGTAAAACTGTGTTTTTCATGTGAAGGAAATCTTCGAAACCTCTTTACCGAATGCTTTGAAATTTTGACACAACGTAGTATTCGAATAAGCGCGTGTTTTTATGTACCTAATATATACATGCCTCACCTGTGACAGGAAAAAAAAACGTTAAAAAAAAAAAACAGGGCCATCTGTTGCGCGTAAGAGAAACACATGCTGTAATATCCAAAAGTTCTTCACCAATTGCTTTGAAATTTTGACACAACGTTCCATTCGAATACGTGCATGTTTTTATATACCTACTACATCGATGCCACGTACACCTGTGACAGGTAGAAACATGCTTTTTTTTTAAACAGCACCATCTGTTGCACGTAATAGCAACTCACACACTATACTAAATATATTACGATTCCATTTCAAGGTTTCCGATTGCATTGATAAATTGAATTTTCATTGATTACAATTTATTTTCATTTTGATTAAATTATTTTGTGTGACACTGCGTTGGAATTGAGCTGTGTTGTTTACCATACCGTTCATTTCGCAAGTATAAGTATAGATGCCACCTGTGACAGGTAAAAACATTCTTTTTTTAAGAAACAATGCCATCTGTTGCACGTAAGAGCACATCACGCTATCTTAAATATGTTACGATTCCATTTCAATGATTCCGATTGCATTGACAAATTTAATTTTCATAGATTTCGATTTATTTTCATTTTGATATAATTGTTTTGTGTGACATTGCGTTGGAACTGAGCTGTGTTGTTTTCCGTTCATTTCGTGAGTATAGTTTATTTTTTTTATTTTTAACTGTTTTTATTTCGTTTTTTTAAGTTTTTCTTATATTTCAATGATGGGAGCATCAGATTATTTGATGTTCCCAGTTCTCTGATGGGAACATCAGATCATTTGGGAATGCATCGGAATAAGGAGTAGGGAATGGTGGGGAGAATGAGGGGACGGGAGTGGTGGATGGTGGGGAGGACGAGACAGTGGAGGGGGTAATTGTGGGGACGACTAGGGGATGGGGGAGTGGGAGATGGTGGGGAGGACGAGGGGACGGTGGTGTGGGGAATGGTTAGGAGGACGAGGGGACAGAGGAGTGGGGGATGGTGGGGAGGACAAAGGAACGGGGTAGGGGAGAATGGTGGGGAGGACTGGTAGACCGGGGAAAGTTGCTGTAGCTCAACAACGCATTAGCCACAACAACTCGTGGCCGGGTACAGCTAGTATATAAATAAAATATAAAAAATATCGATATTTATGAAAAATATTTGAAAAAATGATTTATAAACAGCTTTACTCCTATCTTGTAAATTTCAACATATTAAGTCCCTGCCAGTTTGGCTTCTGATCCCATATTATTATTATTATTATTATTATTATTATTATTATTATTATTATTATTATTATTATTACAATAATAATAACAATAATAAAATCCACAAGGGCCTTGTTGAGGGTTCGAACCTATGCACTAGATGTTACCAGATGCGCTCTAGTCAACTGTACCACGACAGTTATACATAATATATCACATTATATATTCCATATTACCACGTTAGATCACCACGATATGGTAAAATAATATATATCACAAATAACGTAATATTCATTTTCAATTTATGAATATTACGAATATTGTGATTTGTGAATATTCGTATTATTCGTAAATCACATCATTGTGATTTCTGTGTGTATTGTAGTAATTTTGAAGTAACTCACATTTCCAGAGATAGAACTATTTAACTGACAGCCCGAGTGCATGGGGGAATTGTGTGAAATCCCGGTTAGGCTTGAGTGAAAGCCTCAGGATCCTCGTGGGGTCAGTAGCACTCCAGGTTGCAATTTTTTTTTACCATGTGGTGTAGTTAACTAGAGCGTGCCTAGGAACATCCAGCGCATAGGTTCGAACCCTCATCAAGGCCCTTGTTGATTTGTTCATTTGATATATCGCCTTATTGGGATTTCTGTGTATAATAATACTAATGAGAAAATCCACAAGGGCTGAGAGGTGGCGTGAACCTACGACCCTGGCATTGCCAGTCGAATAGACTACCACTAAACCATCGCTGACTTGCAAAAAAAAAAAAAAACATACAACCGGATTCCTACTGAAATCACAGGAAGTCTGGAACTTCCAGAATTCCTGTGATTTCAGTAGAAATCCGGTTGTATGACTTTTACAAGTCAACAATAGTCCAGTGGTAGAGTACTCATCTAATTGTAGTTGTGGGGGTTGAGCTCTGGCTCTGGTCCCGCCTCTCAACTGTAAATCAACTGGTGTACAGATTCAGCGACTGGTAATGCCACGGTCGTAGGTTCGCGCCACCTCACATCCCTGGTGGATTTTCTCACTTATATATATCACGTTAGTGTGGTATCTGCGTGATAAAAATAATAAAATCCGCAGGAGCCATGATGAGGCTTCGAACTTATGCACTGGGTTTTTCCAGGCGCACGCTCTAGACACTTAGGCCACGACATCATCAAAAGGATTGTAACCTAGGGTACTACTGCACCTTCAAGGATAATTTAGCTATCCTGTGGATGGAGGAGGCTGCCAAAACTCCTTACCGTGCGTTTCACTTGTTGACTGCTGACGGAGAACGAGTATTTCCTTCCATTTATTTTATTTATTTATTTTTATTTATTTATTTATATACAAGAAGGTACATTGGGTTTGTGAGAATACATAGCATAGTATTTACAATCTTGTGAATCCACTAGTACGCGCAGTGTTTCGGGCAGGTCCTTAATCTAACAGATAATTTTAAGTAGGAAATTTCTAGTAGAATTAATAAAATGATAACAGATACATTGCAAGAAAAAAAATAAGATGAGAGAGATTAGTATTGGATTCATTTGCGTTTCCAGCTTCCACTTACGTCTTCTTGTCCTACGTTCTCTCGATTTAAGGAGACTGTCCTTATTCCCTTTGTCTATTCCTGCAACATATTGTATGCTGTGATCTTATCTTCTCAACTTTTAGGGTTGTGGTACTATATAGTTCCTATAACCTATCCTCGTAGTTTAACCCTCTTAGTTTTGGCACCAATCTTGTTGCAAACCTCTGTACTTTTTCAATTTTGGTGTTATGGTTCACAAGATGAGGCTTCCATAGGCTCTGAAGATTGCTTTGCAAGAATTCGTATTTATGTTTTAAATGACGTTCTAATGTTTGTCAGCGTCCCATATGCTGTCGATGTTACCTTGTTTATGAGTGCCTCTGGTATTAATGTTGGAATTATATCCACTTCTAAATACTTTTTATTTTTCCGATTCCTGTAATTGATTTCCCATTAAGGTGAAGAAGGTAAAATGTTTGTTCAATTTGTCGTTGCAAGTTGTTTGCTGAATATTTTCTTGACATGTAATTTATTTAAGAAATTTATAACAATTCTACCTGAATATATAGACAATTCAAACAATATGTAGGAAAAATGTATTGAAGACTTCACAATGGAACAAAATGGAGCTTCCTCTGAGCATAATATGCACTTATTAATTTCTCATTAATGTTTAGATGCCAGTAACGTATTTCGATCACCAGCAATGCGCTAACATTAAACAAAACTAATCAATTGTTCATTTCTGCCTGACTTCAATGAGCGAACTTAGTTAAGACTTCTCATTGTTTGCATTATTAACATTACACTAGACAAGCAGAAGCAGCAGTCTAAGTTGATGTAAATGCCTTTAAAAACGTTCAACATTATTAAGGCTTTGTAGAGCCTTATTACTGTCTATAACAGAAAATTATATTGTTGCGATTGTTTAGTATTTCCATATAATAGTATTATAGTATTTACCAGATCATAGTATATATGTCCCAAAGATCAGAGAAATAACTGGGAAATATGAACCTATGTGTCACTGCCTGGAGATCAGAAAGTAGTTCATTAATATCCTACCCGGTAGTTGCAAAGTTTGTCCATAAGGTTGTGATGATGTTACGGAGCTTGAGGTCCTCGTCCCGCTCCAGCGGCGCCCATAGAGGACCGCCACTGAACAGGTAGAAGAGCTCGTCCGTGTGTGACACCCCTGGGAGAAGGAAAATGACTCTGTTACCCCTTCTGGAAAACCATCAGTAAGTTGAAACAGCATGATAAGTAAATGTAGTATATTGTTGATAAAGTGTAGTAGGTTGTTGATAAAGTGTAGTTGGTTGTTGATAGTGTAGTTGGTTGTTCATAGTGTAGTTGGTTGTTGATAAAGTGTAGTTTTTTTTTTTTTTTTTTTTTTTTTTTAGGGATATTCCTGCGCGGGCCCTAAGCCTCTGGCTGGCCCACTAAGTGTTGCTTGTTTCTGTTTTACTTGGGCGGAGTGTGAGTATTTATTGTTGATAAAGTGTAGTAGGTTGTTGATAAAGTGTAGTTGGTTGTTGATAACATGTAGTTGGTTGTTGATAAAGTGTAGTTGGTTGTTGATAACATGTAGTTGGTTGTTGATAACATGTAATTGGTTGTTGATAAAGTGTAGTTGGTTGTTGGTTAAAGTGTAGTTGGTTGTTGATAACATGTAGTTGGTTGTTGATAAAGTGTAGTTGGTTGTTGATAACGTGTAGTTGGTTGTTGATAACGTGTAGTTGGTTGTTGATAAAGTGTAGTTGGTTGTTGATAACATGTAATTGGTTGTTGATAAAGTGTAGTTGGTTGTTGATAAAGTGTAGTTGGTTGTTGATAACATGTAGTTGGTTGTTGATAAAGTGTAGTTGGTTGTTGATAAAGTGTAGTTGGTTGTTGATAACATGTAGTTGGTTGTTGATAACGTGTAGTTGGTTGTTGATAAAGTGTAGTTGGTTGTTGATAACATGTAGTTGGTTGTTGATAAAGTGTAGTTGGTTGTTGATAACATGTAGTTGGTTGTTGATAACGTGTAGTTGGTTGTTGATAAAGTGTAGTTGGTTGTTGATAAAGTGTAGTTGGTTGTTGATAACATGTAGTTGGTTGTTGATAAAGTGTAGTTGGTTGTTGATAAAGTGTAGTTGGTTGTTGATAAAGTGTAGTTGGTTGTTGATAAAGTGTAGTTGGTTGTTGATAAAGTGTAGTTGGTTGTTGATAAAGTGTAGTTGGTTGTTGATAAAGTGTAGTAGGTTGTTGATAAAGTGTAGTAGGTTGTTGATAAAGTGTAGTAGGTTGTTGATAAAGTGTAGTTGGTTGTTGATAAAGTGTAGTTGGTTGTTGATAAAGTGTAGTAGGTTGTTGATAAAGTGTAATAGGTTGTTGATAAAGTGTAGTAGGTTGTTGATAAAGTGTAGTAGGTTGTTGATAAAGTGTAGTTGGTTGTTGATAAAGTGTAGTAGGTTGTTGATAAAGTGTAGTAGGTTGTTGATAAAGTGAAGTTGGTTGTTGATAAAGTGTAGTTAGTTGTTGATAAAGTGAAGTTGGTTGTTGATAAAGTGTAGTTAGTTGTTGAAACAGCATGGACCATGAAGAACCAGAATATTTCCCGTGCCCAGGAACTGACTAGCAACATGAACCAATCTCATCCAGCCATATTGAATGCGTATTTCATAACTGACCATGTGGAAAAGCATTTTGTTACGCTCACAATATGTCTACCAGGTTATGCTGAGAAAGTGTACTGCAAGAGGCGTGCAGACACACCGAAGATACTCACAGTTCTGGCCAATATTAAGGGAGAAGAGGTCTGCGGTGGAGCGCTGTCCTCGGTGCCTCAGCTCATACCTGTACGTATTCTTTTTCTTCCTGGCGACGTTCTTGGCGTGGAGGCTGGAGGTGAGGTCGTGGCACACGGCGAAGTACCGGTCGCCATACATCTGTGTAGGTTGTCACAATGATGTATTACTTGCCCACTACATACCTCCCCATGCCCAACCACTTCGGGTGGACTATAGAGCGGCAGTCTCGCTTCATTCAGATCGGCGTTCAATCCCAGACCGTTCAAAGGTTGGGCACCATTCCTTCCCTCCCCGTCCCATCCCAAATCCTTATCATGACCCCTTCCAAGAGCTATATAGTCGTAATGGCTTGGCACTTTCCCTCTGACAATTCCCCCTCTCTTCCCTACATCCTCCCCCCCCCCCCCCCCCGTTCAATTCTATACGAGTATTTGTGGTGCCTAACTAATAGTAAACACAAATATTTAATTTCCAAATTATGTATTTCCTGATAATCATTACCTGACATTGAAAATTTAATATATATGCAAAACAATTAAGATATTGACATAATTTCCATGTAATAAAATATACACATAAAGATGAGCATATTTTAAAGCATGGAAACAAAAACAAAAATGACGCTTAATACATTTGCAAAATATGTACTACATAGCATTTTCGATTAACATTTTTGTAACACTATTATTACAATTAAATTGTAACCCAAATATGTTTCTTTAAAATATAATGTATTTGTATGAAGTAGGAGGCCAGAAACTTGGAGCTAACCTCGCGATATTTTCACACATAAGACATTTGGTATGTGAGTGTCATGGGCCAGTTGAGAGTCGGCCCTAGTGTAGCTTTAAGAAATATCGGCAGCTAAAGCGACCTATGCGATTTTCACAAACGTCGGAAATAAAATCAGAGTTGTGATTTCCATAGAGTTTTCATGCTTACTCACGCCATTATAAATGACCTAATTGATGCACAGAGTAAAGGGTCTCGAATCTCCTTTGTATGGATACCTTCACACATAAATATAACCCATCATAATGAGACAGACATTGCAACCAAATTAGCGTGTAACAAGTTTGACGTTGAATTAGATCTAGGTATCCCCATCTCTGCTGTCAAAACTGTATTGGTCGAAACATTCAGATCTGATAGGAAAGAACTTACTGACTCCCAACGACCTGAAAGTACTAGTATAAAAAGCTATGATTTGTTCAGATCTGAAACCTACATCTATGGGCAGCACAAAATGGTCCACTAGACTGTGCGACACAGTGGTTGCAAGGATCAGGTTGGGTTACCGTTACCTGTGGCAGGTGGCTACCGTTACCTGTGGCAGGTGGCTGCAGGTGACGGATCTCCCAATCCTGAGCACTCCAGGTGCAAACTCTGTGAGCAGGAACTACGGCACGATCTCCCGCACTACATCACTGAATGCCCACTTATTAGACCTTTCAGACCAGTTGGCATACGGTACCTGGAGCTTTGTAATTACTTTATTCACTCTCGTGTTCTTGAAGATATCCTCACAGTATACACAAAATTTGCCAGTGCCGGCTACTAAACACATGGCCCTGTATGACTAACCATCCTGCGAGATGGGGACTTTTATTACCACTGCTGCCTTATTCAATCTTGTGTTGATGATATCCTCAAAATTCATCCGGAGTCTGCCAGAGCAGACTGCTTGTCACATGCCTCTGTATGACTAACCATCCTGTGTGATGGGGATTTGTTAGCACCACGAAGCTAGCTTTTTGACACACTATTATCCACCTTCATATAGTCTAGGGTAGCTGCACAAATTCAGATGTACCTAATGTATTAATAAAAAAAAATCACCAGAGAAATTCACCTGAGTTTACCTGAGAGCCACTAACACTAGTGGCCTCGACGAGGATAGGAAGCCGGCGGCTTGTCGAAGGTCCCCCCTCATTTGCCTTGATGATCTTTACTAGATGTACTTTAAAGCACAACACAGTTTTCGCATTAACAGCTTCGGCGGGTAGGAGATTCCATAAGTTAATAGTCCTGTGGGTGATAAAGTATCTCCTGTTCTCAGTCCTACATTGTGACTTGTTGAGCTTCAGTGAAACCGTTACTCCTTGTTTGTTACATCAGACCCTTGAAGAAATTGTCTGGATCAACATCCTTCAAGTTGTTCAGTATTTTAAAAGTTTTAATGAGATCCGCCCTGTCATGCCTAGTTTGCAGTGTTGTTAGTTCTGTGGCACTCAACCGTTCCTGATACGAGAGTTGACTTCGCTCTGGAATGATTTTTGTTGCCCGGTGTTGCACTTTCTCCAGAGTAGCTATATCCTGAAAATGAGGTCTCCATGCTTGGATACAGTAATCCAAATGGGGACGCACCAGAGATTTATACAGTTGAATCACTACCTTCTTTTCCTTGAAATTGAAGGCCCGATTGATTATTCCAAGTGTTTGGTTAGCTTTTATAAATGCTTTTCCTACCAGCTGTGCAACTTTCATTGAATGGTGGATTTTAACTCCAAGGTCCTTTTTCTCATCAATTTGCTATAATGTAATGTTATTAATTTGATAGTTGTGGCACAGGTTATTGTGCCCCACATGCAGGGCCTTGCATTTATACTTATTAAAAAGCATTTGTCAGTCTTCTGACCATTTGTGGAGTTCCTCCAAATCTCTTTTTAACGCTACAACATCATTACCATTTCCCACTTTGCCATAAATCTTTGTGTCATCTGAAAATTTGATGATGTGTTTTGTGATATTCTCATCTATGTCATTGATGTATATGACAAAAAGGGTTGGCCCCAAAATGGACCCCTGTGGTACTCCACTTATCACATTTCTCCAATCAGATTCATTTCCATTTAGCACCACTCATTGTTTTCTTTGTTTTAACCATTGTGCTATCCATTCTAGTATTCTTCCATTTATTCCATGTGCCCGTAATTTCCTTACCAGTCTCTCATGTGCTACCTTGTCAAAGGCTTTAGCAGAGTCCATTTAAGCTACATCTACCGGAAGTCCTTTGTCTAAATAGCCGGTTGCCGTTTCCAAAAGTGTGAGCAGGTTAGTAAGGCAGGATCTAATTTTAACAAACCCATGTTGCGTCGATTTTACTTGATTATTCTCTAGAGATGTTGGATGATTTACTTCCTTAGGATTCTCTCCATGATCTTGCAGATGTGTGATGTCAAGCTGATCGGCCGGTAGTTCTCCGCTGAACTCTTTCTGCCTTTTTTGAAAATACGGAGAGACATTTGTATGTTTCCAATCCAGGGGGACTATCCATTGGTCCACAGATTTTGTGAAAAGTAATTTCAGTGGTAGGCATAGCTCTTCTGCCAGTACCTTTATGACTTTGGACTGTATTCCATCCACACCTGGGACTTTTCAGTTTTTTATTTTGTCAATGTTCTTCCTGATTATGTCGCATGTTATGGTTATATTCCTATAATTCATTCTCTTCACCTTGAAATATTTGTGGGTGATGGGATGTCCTCTAACCTTTCCAGTGTGAACACTGATGTAAAATATTCATTTAGAGTGTTATCTGCCCTTTTGTCGTCCATTATAGTTTGGTCAGTCTCATCTTTTAAAATTCCTACCGAGTGCTTTGTTGTGGTTTTACTTCTTATATAGGCATAGAACGACTTTGGATCATTTTTTATTTTTGAGAAAGTTTTCTTTCATAGTTCCTTTTTGGTTGATCTGATTTCCTGGGTGGCTGAATTTAGTGCCCTTTCATTATCTCATAATCAATTATGTCTGTCGTGGATTTATACGTTCTCTAGAGGTTCCTCTTATTTTTTTTATTTTTTTTTATTTACATATACAAGAGCTGTTACATTCTTGTACAGCCACTAGTACACGTAGCGTTTCTGGCAAGTCCTTAATCCTATGTTCCTCGGAATAAACGACCCAGCCATATTGTTTTAACAACCAGGTACCCATTTTACTGTTAGGTTAAACAGAGGCTACAGTTAAGGATTGACGCCAAGTAAATCCAGCCCGGCCAGGATACGAACCCAGGACAAAGCGCTCGTGAAACACCAGGCGCGCATCTTAACCACTACACCACGGGAACTTGGTTATCAATGCTTGTTTTACTGCCTGAGTCATCCATCTAGTTCCCTTTCGTTTTCTTCTTTCTTTTTGGCACATATTTTTGAACGAGTTCCGTGATGATTTTCTTAAAGTTTTGCCATAATGCTTCCATGCCATGTTCGCCTATTAGCTCCCTCCAGAAGATATTTTGCAGTTCCTCTCTCATTCCTTGATAGTCACCTCGATGGTAATCTAGAACGTCTTCATTTCTAGAGATTACCAAACTTTATGTGGGTTTCAGTATTTGTAGTCCATCTTAAAATATGGTGATCACATAACGGGGGTTAGCTTTTCCTCTACCTGAATTTGATCAATCATAGCCTCTTCTGAAGTTAGCACAAAATCTAGTATGTTTTTACCACGTGTGGGCTCTACCACATGCTGTGGGAGAAAGGAGTCCTGAACCAGATCTAGAAATTGTTCTCCCTCTGCTTGTGATGTTAGATTTACCCCAGTCTATGATCTCATGGTTAAAATCCCCCAATATTAGGGTTTGGGTTTCTGATGCCGCTTTGATCACATTATATAGATCAACAACATCGTCTGCTGCTGCAGTGTCACTCCTGTAGCATACTACCACAGTCATTTTGCTACCATCTCGAGCTAGAATGTTGTACCATACCGGCTCTGAGGATCCCATAGTGTTTAGTTCCTCATTATTGATTGCATTCAGGTCCTCTTTCACGTACAGCATTACCCCTCCTGCTCTTGTTGTTCTGTCCTTTCTGAATGGTGGCTGGTATCCCGGGAGATGAAATTTACCTTCTGTTATGTCTTCTCGTCCCCATGTTTCACTGATGCCTATGATGTCAGGATTTCCAGCCTCAGCATACGCACATTTGACGTGACATACGCACGTGTCAAATTTATTTACTAGGCTTCTGGCATTTATATAGAAACAATTTAAACTCCTGACGTTGTTCCTGGAAGCTGAGAGATTGTTCCTGTGTTTAGCACATTCCTGTTTTGTTGTGGCTCTGGTTCTGCACCTTTATATCGCCAGAGATATAAAGAGTTAGTTCGGCCTGGCTGGGTGAAGGACTATGTCCTCTCCACCTTCTACTATCCGGATCACCTGCCCTCTCCTGATCTTTAGCTTTGCATTTTTTTTATAAAATGGGGGATAAGAGGAGAAGATATGGAGGAGAGAGGTGGAGAAGGCGAGTGGGCAGGGAGGACAGAGGGAAATGGGGAGGAGGGTGAGAGAAGAGTGGGAAGGGGACGGGAGATAAGTTAGGAGTGGGGGGACAGAGGAAGAAAGGAGACGGTGGATGTTGACGGAGAGGGAAGGAAAAAGTAGGAAAAAGGTGAGGAGGGGAGAGGTGAGAAACAAGAGTGAAAATGGTAATGTAAACAGGAATAGGAGAAAAAAAGTATTACCCAATAGCACTTAACAACATACAGTATGCAATTGTTGTTTTAGATTCAGCTACTGGGAACCAAACGTTGCATCCAGCACCGGCTATGGTGAGCCCGTCGTACTCACCTGGCACAGAAGATGTGCCCGTTATACAGTTATACTTAACACTAAATGAGAAATGGTAACATTTATAAATTGTTGAAAGATCTGAAAATAATTGACAATTATACAAGAGACATTTATAAACAGCCGTTTTCTTAATAATGCATAGTTTCAAATTGTGGATATGATTATTAGTAACAAAGCAGATCGTAAATTCCTTGGTGTTCTCATCGATAACAAGTTGAATTTCCAAGAACACATTCAAAATATAGCAAACAAAAGTTTCTAAAACTGTTGGCATTCTTTCTAAGATCAGATATTATGTACTTCGCCCTGCCCTGGTGACGCTCTATTACTCTCTCATCTATCCTTATCTCAACTATGGTATTTGTGCTTGGGGTTCTACTACAGAAAATCATCTACGTCCCCTAATTACTCAACACAAATCTGTTATTAGAACAATATCGAACTCTGGCCCCAGATAGCACTCGATACCCTTACTTAAATCTTTGAAAATGTTAGATATTCAATCACTGCACATCCTCTCTAGTGTACTCTATATATTTAAAACTCTGAACTGTAATACCAATCCTGACCTTAAAAGCTTCCTAGAAGGTTGTAACAGAACCCATGGGCACCACACCAGAAACAAATGCCTATTTGATATTCCAAGAGTGCGCCTTAACGAAACTAGAAATGCTCTGCAAATCAAGGTACCCAGAATGTGGAATGACCTTCCCAATCAAGTCAAAGACTGTACCTCTCTCAACCAGATTAAGAGAAAAACAAAGTACTACCTAATTAATTCCATGTAACCTACCTTACCCCCTAAATGTCAACCTGTCTTGCTATTCTCAAACAATACTGTTTGTTGACTAAGTTGTATAACTGCTGATTTCCGTCAAGTTACCCGCCTCCCTTTTCCCTTTTCAACTCAATTTATGCTTTGTTCTCAGTTAATATTAAGTTAGTATTAAGTGTATTTTCCCAGACCTTGCCCGAAACGCTGTGCGTATTAATGGCTTTAGGTATTGTATGTACTAACTCTATCTAGAAATCCAACATTTTGTTTATAACTCATCTTGAATGTATGTACTTTTACCTGAATAAACATTTTGATTTGATGTAACTTGTCCTTCGGTGCAGTAACTTGCTTAGCTAAGCCAGTTTTTAAGTTCAGTTCCTGAACCATTATCTGTCTCTAACGTTTTCCATCACCGTCCACAGGATGTATATTGAGTGCATAATAAATTAACTAAACTAAAAACTGAAGGTAAAATGTCAAAGTGTTCTTTAGCAATTAGATAGATTATTTATTTTATTCACAAAAGTATTCGTTAATGTGTCTACCATTATATCTGCCGCATCCTCTTGTACAACACGCTCGACATTTCTAATTCATACCATTGTGTTGGGGGACAGGCAGCCAGAGTGCAACCCGTTCTCGTACTTGCTTACAATCAATATTGGCTTATTTAATAAGTGCATATGTGACACACTAATTAATTGTGAATATTTTAATTTACCTTGAAAAGCTTCATAGAAAACACCGACCTCACCTAACCTTCTTAGTATGTTAAGATAAGCATCTTATTGCTTCTTATTTACACAGAGTGTATTTATAATTGTTAGGCTCATATCGAGGTCGCCCCCCCCCTTCCACCAAGGGTCGAATTACTGACCCTCCCCAGGATACAACCCCACAACAAGCTGACTAACTCCTGGGTACCTACTTACTGCTAAGTAAACAAGGGCATTAGATGATTGAAAAAGTGCCCAACCATTTCTGTCCCTCCCGCGATTCGAACCCGGAATTCTCAATTGTGAGTCGAGAACGCTCCTGACTGTACAGCCAGTCCTCCAAACAAAGATCCAAAAGTGATTCCATGCACCCGCCAAACCCCCTGTTTATGAACGAAAAGTGGTTTACACACGACTCACAACTGCTGACGTTCGAGCATATCCGGAACAAGTGCTTCACTGACGAATTTTGTTCGAATCACAACCCTATAAATGCTTCACCCACGTACTACAAATACAAATAATCGCCAACAGAACCTAAACTCCTGACCTAACCTATCCTGTGCCTATATATACGCAATATGCTAATATATTATAATATTTATTTATACTTGCAAAAATTCCCATTTGAATGAACAGCATGTTCAAATTTATGAATGCGTCTGTGGGGTTGACCGCTGAATGTAATGGACTTGAGTCGAGGACGGGTTGGGCTGTAATACCTGGAGCCTCCGATGCTGCCGGGACCCTCTACCTAACATTACATACAGTTATTGAAACAGCAACCAAGAAGCTTAGGGTTACCTGTGTGACGTTATCAGCGTGGATGACGTCCAGATGGATGCCTCCCAGGTAGTGATCAAATATCTTCACCGTCTGGTTCAGAGGAGATACATCACCCTCGCCAAACTCCAAGGATATCGGGCCGTTCTGTATGAAGTTGTATTTAAGGGCTGATCGTAGGCCTTCGTTGCCGAACATTGCTGTTAAGAAATGAAGGAAACACAAATTATAGAATATGTATTTTAGTCAAGCAAGTGTAACTTTCATACATCTTCTCTAACTCATCCCATTTCACTGTAACTGGGGCTTTCTTTAAGTCCCTATTTCAGTCATTTTGTGGCTTCCCTTGAGTCTCCGTCTCAGTGTAATGGGCTTTCTTTGAGTCTGTCATTCACTGACTACATTTGAGTACCTGTCTCAATAATACCATGGCTTCCTTTAGGTCCATGTCTCAGTCATACTGTGGATTTGTTTGAACCCCTTTCTCAGTGATAATGGGGCTTCCTTTAAGCCCCCGTCTGTGTTATACTGTGACTTCATTTGAGTTCCTATTTCAGTGATATTGGGACTTTTCTTGAACCCCTGTCTCAGTGATAATATGGCTCCATTTCAGTCCCTGTTTGTGATATATAGGCATTCTTCGAGTTCCCCTCAATGATTCTGACGCTTCATTAAAGTCCCAGTTTCATTAATTCGTGAGATATCTTTGAGCAAGTAAGTTAATTTCAGTTAGTCATTACATTAAAGACAAAGTGAACACTAAATGGTTCGCGATAAAGCATCCTTAGGCATTTATTTGTTATGTTTAACCGTCCTCCTTTTGTTAGAGAATTTTCAGTTTGGGCTGCTCTGTACTCCTGGGCTTTTGCTGATATTCAGGAATTAGTGGATGATACATCATGCCTAGGAACAGTTTAATGATATTTTTGTCTTTAATGCATTAAAGCCGGGCTGAATAGGTTGGTTTATAATTAATTAATTATATTTCATTGTGTCGGGGTGTTACGACCCGACTCTTATTTTTTGCATATAGGAGCCAGGATCTTCGGGAGATTTGTATACCTGATTGTTAACAAAGAGAATGTAAGGAACAATTAGGTTATTTCTCTTTGTGGTAGGCCCTTGAATGCTATGAACTTGTAACTGGGGAAAGTATAGGACTAGTTATATAGGTTTAGGATAAGAAAGGAGTGTTTGTATCTTTTTAAGTATGTAGACAGTTTACTCACTTCAATCCTAAAAATGGCGGGGTGTTTTGTCCCTGCCAGACGTAAGATTATTCGGTGTTCCTAGCTAGTTAATTTCCCTATTTTAATAGGTTGTCTACTGTATTGTAAAGCTGTATTGAATTGTGCAATTGTATAAGTGTAATACATTCTATAGTAATTCACTTTTTTCTTCACCTTGAAAAACGAACATGAGTTTTAGAGAACTCCTCTTTCAACTAAACCCTGATGCAAGAATAATAGTTAGAGGGATAGAAGAACTAAACCAGAAGATAGTAAATAAAGAATATGCGGTCATTTTCAATGAGACAAAAAAAAAAAAAAAAATATATATATATATATATATATATATATATATATATATATATATATATATATATATATATATATATATATATATATATATATATATATATATATGTCGTACCTAGTAGCCAGAATGCACTTCTCAGCCTACTATGCAAGGCCCGATTTGCCTAATGAGCTAAGTTTTCATGAATTAATTGTTTTTCGACTACCTAACCTACCTAACCTAACCTAACTTAACTTTTTCAGCTACCTAACCTAACCTAACCTAACCTATAAAGATAGGTTAGGTAGGGTTGGTTAGGTTTGATCATATAACTACGTTAATTTTAACACCAATAAAAAAAATTGACCTCATACATAATGAAATGGGTAGCTTTATCATTTCATAAGAAAAAAATTAGAGAAAATATATTAATTCAGGAAAACTTGGCTTATTAGGCAAATCGGGCCTTGCATAGTAGGCTGAGAAGTGCATTCTGGCTATTAGGTACGACATATATATATATATATATAGGGGGGTACCACCACTGGTGTAATTATAGGGACCCACAGCCTCAGAGAAGGGAACACAGAGCACTCAGGGAAAAACTTGACATTTAACTCTGAATACGAAAGAGTGTTCACTTCTCCTACCACCCCCTTTTTTTTTTTTTTTTTTTTTTTTTTTTTTATTATGATGTACACTTTATTATGCAAGGTTATACAGTTACATATCTGATTTTATACAAAAAATGAACATTAAGAGGACACAAGAAAAAGTTCGCTTCCTAGAGGCTGTAGATTTCCTCGAACTCCTCCGACGCCGGGCAGGAACCGAGGATGCAGCGGGCATTTCCCCTCTGGATCGCGACACTGAGGCGCTGAAAGAGAAAACTTGCTGCTCTAGGGTCTCTTGTGGTGTCAATGAGCTTGGAACCAAGATCCTTAAGAAACCTTCTTGCACTCTCACCCCATGGGCCTAGGGTCTCAGACCCTATTGGAACGAAATTGTACCTTTGATCTAATTGCCTGTACTTGACTGACTTTTGTTTTTCTCTGTGTGTCGCTGCGGCTCCTGCCGTGCCGGCAGAGAGGGTGATGTATGTCGTTGCCAGGGTGGATACGCAAGTATAGTCCCATGCTAACTGCCTGCCACCCTTCCACGGACGCAGTGTGATTCCGTCTGGTCGGCCGGCAAAGCTAACAGAGTCACGGTTCAGTAGGTTGCGGGGCTCTCTCTCCGCTGGACACTGAGCAGAGGCAAGGCTTCTTTTAATGATGTCGTTGACTTCGTCGTGTCTTCGTCGTGTCGTGACTTCGTCGTGTCTATATATATATATATATATATATATATATATATATATATATATATATATATATGTCGTACCTAATAGCCAGAATGCACTTCTCAGCCTACTATGCAAGGCTCGATTTGCCTAATAAGCCAAGTTTTCCTGAATTAATATATTTTTTTCTAATTTTTTTCTTATGAAATGATAAAGCTACCCATCTCATTATGTATGAGGTCAATTTTTTTTTATTGGAGTTAAAATTAACGTAGATATATGACTGAACCTAACCAACCCTACCTAACCTAACCTAACCTATCTCTATCAGTTAGGTTAGGTATGGTAGCAGAAAAAGTTAGGTTAGGTTAGGTTAGGTAGGTTAGGTAGTCGAAAAAACATTAATTCATGAAAACTTGGCTTATTAGGCAAATTGGGCCATGCATAGTTGGCTGAGAAGTGCATTCTGGCTACTAGGTACGACATATATATATATATATATATATATATATATATATATATATATATATATATATATATATATATATATATATATGTCGTACCGAATAGCCAGAATGCACTTCTCAGCCAACTATGCATGGCCCAATTTGCCTAATAAGCCAAGTTTTCATGAATTAATGTTTTTTCGACTACCTAACCTACCTAACCTAACCTAACCTAACTTTTTCTGCTACCTAACCTAACCTAACTGATAGAGATAGGTTAGGTTAGGTTAGGTAGGGTTGGTTAGGTTCAGTCATATATCTACGTTAATTTTAACTCCAATAAAAAAAAATTGACCTCATACATAATGAAATGGGTAGCTTTATCATTTCATAAGAAAAAAACTAGAAAAAAATATATTAATTCAGGAAAACTTGGCTTATTAGGCAAATCGAGCCTTGCATAGTAGGCTGAGAAGTGCATTCTGGCTATTAGGTACGACATATATATATATATATATATATATATATATATATATATATATATATATATATATATATATATATATATATATATATATATGTCGTACCTAGTAGCCAGAACGCACTTCTCAGCCTACTATGCAAGGCCCGATTTGCCTAATAAGCCAAGTTTTCATGAAATAATTGTTTTTCGACTACCTAACCTACCTAACCTAACCTAACCTAACCTAACCTAACCTTTTCGGCTACCTAACCTAACCTAACCTATAAAGATAGGTTAGGTTAGGTTAGGTAGGGTTGGTTAGGTTCGGTCATATATCTACGTTAATTTTAACTCCAATAAAAAAAATTGACCTCATTCATAATGAAATCGGTAGCTTTATCATTTCATAAGAAAAAAATTAGAGAAAATATATTAAATCAGGAAAACTTGGCTTAATATGCAAATCGTGCCTTGCATAGTAGGCTGAGAAGTGCGTTCTGGCTACTAGGTACGACATATATATATATATATATATATATATATATATATATATATATATATATATATATATATATATATATATATATGAAGCGCCCTGATGGGGTCACCTTGCTACCTTGGAAGGATGGTAAGCAAGTGGTATGGGACTACACGTGCGCTGCCACACTGGCCAGTACCTACCTCCACTACAGCACACGTGAAAGCGGTGGTGCTGCCTCTTTCAGGGAATCGCAGAAAATTATTAAATACAGAGGTCTGGCACACTGCTACAGCTTTGTTCCGATCGGCTCGGAGACCCTCGGTTCGTGGGGAAAATGTGCATTGAAGTTCCTGAAGGAATTGGGGGACAAATTGATCAGCGCTACAAAAGACCAGAGAGCAAAAAGTTTCTTGTTCCAGCGCCTCAGTGTTGCGATTCAGAGGGGAAATGCCTGTTGCGTCTTGGGCACTAGTCCAACTTCAGAGGAATTCGAAGAAGTGTTTGACTTGCAACAATGATCGAACCCGTCTGTGACATTCATCAATGTTTCCCATTGTTGTGTTCTTCAAGAGATCCATAACCTTTAAGCACCTTTTTGCATTATTATTTTTGTATCAACCCATGTATATCTTGTAACCATCAAATGCATAATAAAGCACAAAAAATATTCAAGGAAGGGGGTGGTAGGAGAAAAGCACACAGAAACTGTATTGGAGGGGATCTAAACATTCCCTCTAATGCGTTATGCGTGGTTTCCTCCGAGGCTATGGGTCCCCCTTCTTCCAGCTAGAGGTGGTACTCCCTTTATATTATATTATATATATATATATATATATATATATATATATATATATATATATATATATATATATATATATATATATATATATCAGTATATTTTGGTAGCAGTCTTTCCTGTAGACATATATTATTAAATATGACCGAAAAAGTAAGATTAATAATTCTAACACGAATTTTCTCAATCTTTCGTACATTTCTTTTCACTGTTG